TACATTTATCCACATTAAATTTCATTTGCCATTTTGTTGCCTAGTCACTTAGTTTGGTGAGATCTTTTTGAAGTTCTTCACAGTCTGCTTTGGTCTTAACTACCTTGAGCAGTTTAGTATTATCTGCAGACTTTGCCACCTCACTGTTTATCCCTTTCTCCAGACCATTTATGAATAAGTTGAATGGGATTGGTCCTAGAACTGACTCTTGGTGAACAGCATTAGTTAACCCTCTCCATTCTGAAAATTTACCATTTATTCCTACCCTTTGTTTCCTGTCTTTTAACCAGTTCTCAGTCAATGAAAGGATCTTCAGCCTTTGGTGAGGGACCTTGTCAAAGGCTTTCTGGAAATCTAAGTACACTATATCTACTGGATCCCTCTTGTCCACATGTTTGTTGACCCCTTCAAAGAACTCTAATAGATTAGTAAGACACGATTTCTCAACCATGTTGACTTTTGTCCCCAAAATTATGTTCTTCTGTGTCTGACAATTTTAATCTTTACTATTGTTTCAGCTAATTTGCCTGATACTGACGTTAGACTTACCAGTCTGTAATTGCCGGGATCGCCTCTAGAGCCCTTTTTAAATATTGGCGTAATATTAGCTATCTTCCAGTCGTTGGGTACAGAAGCTGATTTAAAGGATAGGTTACAAACCATAGTTAATAGTTCCACAATTTCACATTTGAGTTCTTTCAGAACTCTTGGGTGAATGCCATCTGGTCCCGGTTACTTGTTACTGTTAAGTTTATCAATTAATTCCAAAATGAGCTCTAATGACTCTTCAATCTGTGACAAGTCCTCAGATGTGTCACCTACAAAGGATGGGTCAGGTTTGGGAATTTCCCTAACATGCTCAGCCATGAAGACTGAAGCAAAGAATTCAGTTTCTCCACAATGACTTTATCGTCTTTAAGTACTCCTTTTGCATCTCGATTGCCCAGAGGCCTCTGGTTGTTTAGCAGGCTTCCTGCTTCTGATGTACTTGAAAAACATTTTATTACCTTTCGAGTTTTTGGCTAGCTGTTTTTCAAACTCCTTTTTGGCTTTTCTTATTACATTTTTACACTTAATTTGGCAGTGTTTAGGCTCCTTTCTATTTACCTCACTAGGATCTGACTTCCACTTTTTAAAAGATGTCTTTATCTCTCACTGTTTCTTTTACATGGTTAAGCCAAGCCACATTGGCTCTTTTTTAGTTCTTCTACTATTTTTTTTATTCCCAACAATACGTATAAAATGATGAGGACTTAATTAGCTATTACCACTCAAGGGAGAGATCTTGGAGTCATCGTGGATAGTTCTCTGAAAACATCCACTCAAATGTGCAGCAGCAGACAAAAAAGCAAACAGACTGTTAGGAATCATTATGAAAGGGATAAAGAATCAGAGAATATCTTAGGGTATGTCTACACTACCCTCCTAGTTCGAACTAGGAGGGTAATGTAGGCATACCGCACTTGCAAATGAAGCCTGGGGGATTTGAATTTCCCGGGCTTCATTTGCATAAGCGGGGAGCCGCCATTTTTAAAACCCCGCTGGTTCGAACCCCGTGCAGCGCAGCTACACGGGGCTCGAACTAGGTAGTTCGGACTAGAATTCCTATTCCGAACTACCGGTACACCTTGTTCCACCTAGTCCTGATCCTACAACACCACATGGACTTCAATGGGTCTCCATGTAGGGTCAGAGGTCTGCCCACAAGGATGCAGTTGGATTGGGCCCCAGTGACTAATCTGTAAGTTATACATATCATCTCCAATATTTTGTGTCTATTAATGTAAAGAATTATTACATTATTCAATTTAGAAACAAAGTACATCAAAATAACTGGTTTACAATTCTAAGGACCAACTGTAACAAAATCTAATATTTTATTACCTATTTAACACCTGGTTTTCTGTTTCTAGTTCTTCTCTCTTTGCTTCCAAGAGTTCTATTTTCTCTTGCAGCCTCTTTTGTTTGTTGTCATTGAGAGCCTTTCTCTGTCAAACACACATATTTTGAACACTTAGAAACTGTGTCAACAGTTACAATCACTTTGATCAAGTCACTAATACTTTGCACTTGCATTTCAGTTACAAGATTCCATAGTTTTTAGCATTTCCTTATAAAGAGATGTATTTTTTTGTTGAAAATGGTGGGGGGGGGGAAACCCCAAACAAACCCATAAGCACATATTTGCTTTCCATACATTACTTTGCTAAATCAAAGTGAGTATCAAAAAAGAGGGTTAGTTCCCCAAATGCCCAGTGTTAATGACATAAAACAGCAACACACAAAGTATCAATTTGTCTGAATAGGTTCTCAAGCTGTTTATCATTGAGGCTCACGAAGTGTTAAATGGGTTAGAGGTTGAGAACTACAGCACCCCCGACAAATCACCCAGTCCCCTATGCCTAATGTCCTCTGCCCACAGTTCCCTGTGCCCAGTGTCCCTCCACGCAACCCCCAAAGTGGAGCTAGAAGAAGAGGCATACTCTACCATGCAGAGACAGGCAGCAGCCAGGTCTGGATCCTGCTTTGTGGGGCCATGCAGCTGAGACACATGGCATTGGTCCAGGAATGGAGTGCCCACCAGATGCTGAGAGCCAGCTGGGAGTAGTATAGCACTGGGGCAAACCCCTAGACCAGTGGTCTCCAACCTTTTTACACGCAAGATCACTTTTTAAATGACAGACCAAGCCAAGATCTACCGCCCTGCCCCTTCCTTGAAGCCCCGCCCTCTCTATTCTCCTCCTCTCCATCACTTGCTATCCCCAATCTTTATACTGCTGATTTTTTTCCCCCAATTTTTCTGTAGGAAGAGGTTTTTCCAACATTTGGCCTGTCTAGACTGGACCAAATGTCAGAAAAACCCCTTCTTTTGGAAGCCCCCTTATTCCTCATGGAAAGAGGAATATAGGGGTGACTGAAAGAGCATGTTTACTCTTCCACTAAAAAAAGCGGAAGAACAAACGTATCTCTGGATGCAGAAGAGTGTTTATGGGATATCTCCAGAATCCTGAAAAATTCCTGCAGTCTAGCCGTATCCTCGCTGGGTTGAGACAGGATATGTGGGTTCTGGGGTGGGAATGAGGGATTTGGGTGTGGGAAGGGGTGAGAGGTGCAAGCTCTGGGAGGAAATCTGGATGCAGGAGGAGGTAGAGAAGGGGACGCTGGCTCAGGGAGGGGGCTCCAGGCTGGGCAGTGTTGGGGTACTAGG